CTTTTTTTAGAATGTTTTTTATTTAATTTCATTTATTATTATTATTTCTTTTTAATTTGTATAGGGTATTTGTATACAAATTAAATTTGTATAGGGTATTTGTATAGAAATTAAATATATCTATTTATATTTGTATAGGGTATTATTATTTCTTTTGAATTCAGTGTAGGGTATGTGTGCTCAGCAGAGAGAAAGAGAGAGCCATTATGCCATCCGCTGGCCCCGGCCAGGACCTGATTACCAAACCACAGTTGGCCATGTGGAAGTCCAGCGCCTTAATCACCGTGTCCCCTGCTATCCCCCAGGAAGTTAACTTTCATGCCCAGATTCACACAGCAGGTAGCTGAAAGAGCCAGAAATCAAACACGGGACTATTCCAAGTATAAATATTGAGAGCCTTCAGGCCAACAGGTGGCACGGTAGTTAAAACACTGGATCCCACATGGCCAACTGAGCAGTTCAAGACCTGGGCCTGAAGGCTTGAAAACACACATGGAGGGCCAGGTGGCAAAGTGGTTAAGGCGCTAGACTCCCACATGAAAGACCAGTTTGAGTTCCGGGCCCTGCAGGTTGAAATTCACACCAGGCGCATGTACGTGTATGCCCAAAATCCTGAGAGAAGAATGGAGAAGGGATTGCAGCGTAGCCATCCCCCTGGGGAGCAATGTTTCATTTTCTCTCTCTCTGTCTCTGTGTCTCTGATGAACGCACATGACCAAAGAGCAAAAATTTCTTAAAAAAAAAAAAAAAGAAGAAGAAGGAGAAGAAGAAGAAGAGGAGGAGGAAGAAGAAAAGAAAAAACACTCTAGGAGCATGTGCGTTTGTGCCCAAAATCTTGAAAAGAATATGGAGATAAAGGGATTGCATTATGACCATCCTCCCCTGGGGGAGTAATTTCTCCCTCTTCCTGTCTCTCCCTAGCAAGCACACATGCCCTATAGCGCGCGCACACACACACGCACACACACACAGAGGAAGCCTTCTTTGGCTTGAAAAGACCTGGATAGACTGTCAGGTCTGCCACCACTGAGCCTATGAGCCACCACGAGTCACCTCAGCTCTGAGTCTTTGTTGTGAAATGGGGGTGAGAATACCTGCTTAAGAGGGATTGGCAGAGTAAGATCATGTGTATAAAGTGCCTTAATCGAAGCAGATGGTGAGCCAGTGGAGCCAGTGAGCCTCACAGGCCACAAGGCCACCACCTGCTGGGATAAAAAGCCTATTTGGTTGGATTAGGAGAGTCAGAGGAGTTCCGGGGAAGGGGAACCCAGAGAGCAGAGCCTGTGGACGCGGTGTTCTTGCGCAGGCGGACCTGTACGGTGTGATGCTACAGGAATTTCAGAGACACGCAGAAGTCCGTTTGCTGATCAGAACTGTGCGTTGTCTGGCCTACCTCTGCCACTGCCCAGCTAGTGGGCAGGTGGAGGCAGGTCCTTCAAAAGCTTAGAGAGGGGCCCAGCAGATGGCATAGTGATTGTGTTGCTGGATTCCCACTGAGCCCAGACCCAGTGGCTTGAAAATCACGCCATGCATGTATATGTGCACATCCAGGGTCCTGGGAAGAGAATGGATTACAGCATGGCCAATTTCCCCATTCCCCAGTGGAGGGGGTTTCTCACTTTCCCTCTCATTGTCTCTTTCTCTTTCCCACGAACACACTCTAAGTCAGAAAACTCTAAAATAAATAAATAAAAACTTAGGGAGTTCCTGGCAGAGAAGGCACGAACTCTTAAGTCCTCTGGTCTTTGCCCTCTGTCTTTGTTTTGATCGTCACAGAAGAACCTGAGGAGGGGACAGGGCTAGAAGAGGGAGAGCTGTGAAGCCAGACCATCCTTTTTTTTTTTTTCTTTTTGGGAGAGAGGGTTGTTTTTTTGTTGTTGTTGTTACAGGGCACGTGCGCTCACCAGACAGAGAGAGACAGAGACACAGAAAGTGAGAAATCACCTGGATCTTGGGCACGCATGCACACGTTTCCGGCGGGAGTTCAAGCCACCGGGTCCGGGACACGAACTGCAGACGAGTACGTGGGAGTCCAGCGACATAGCCATTACACTAACTGCTGGTCCCAAAGCCAGACAGTCCTTAGGATTCAAGAAGGCATTCCTTTCCACCCAACACAAGGATTTCCGTTTCTACCCTGAGATTCACTGCATGGGTCTCCTTATTACCCTGTCCCCATTCCTTTTATTTACTTCATAGCCGGAAGGCATGTGAGTATGCATAAGAATGGGGTAGGGAGGGACCAGCAGTTAGCATAATGGCTTTGTCGCTGGACTCCCATGTAGTCGACTGTGGTTCAAGTCCTGGACTCGGTGGCTTAAAAACACGTAGTAAAAGTAACAACTTCCTTTTTATCAGGAAAAAAAGAAAAAAACATGCAATCCAAAGGACAAATGGACAAATATCTTTAAAGTGATGAATGAAGGGGTGGCAGGGGGGGAGCCAACTGGGACTTTTATATCCAAGAAATATAAATATTGAAGATAACATGTAGATATTTTCAGGAATAAAAGAGATAATCATCGGGACCAGCAGTTGGCATAATGGCTATGTCACTAGACTCCCATGTAGTCGAACACGGTTCGAGTCCTGGACCCGGTGGCTTAAACTCACACAGGTGCATGTGCAAGCGTACCCAAGATCCCGAGAGAAGAATGGAGGAGAAGGGATTTCGGCGTGGCCATCCCCCCTGGGGGGTTATTTCTCACTTTGTGTCTCTCTGTCTCTCCCTGTTTGTCTGGTGAGCGCATGCGCCCTATAGCAAAAGCCTCTCTCAAAAAAAAAATAATAATAAAGAAAAAAAGAATGGGGTAGGGAGTGAAAGAAAGCAGCCCCCAGTGGGACTTGGTCAAGCATGGTGGTTAAGGTGCTGGGCACTCCCATATGGTCAATCACAGTTTGAGTCCCGGGCATGGTGGCTTGCTTTCTCACTTTCTCTCTCTCTTTTTCTCTTTGGTCAAATTAAAATAAATGAATGAATAAATAAAATTAAATAAATCTTTAAAAGGAGAGAGAGAGAGAGAGAGAGAGGCAGGACCAGCAGTTAGCGTAATAGCTATGTCACTGGACTCCCATGTAGTCGATCGCGGTTCAAGTCCCAGACCCAGTGACTTAAACTCATGCCGGGTATGTGTGCGTGCGTGCCCAAAATCCCAAGAGGAGAATGAAGGAGAAAGGATTGTTGTGTGGCCATCCTTCATGGGGGGTGATTTCTCACTTTCTGTCTCTCCGTCTCTATCTTTCTGGCGAGTGCACGTGCCCTATAGCAAAAATCTCTCCAAAAAAAGAGAAAGACTCTTTTCCTCCAATTCTCTACCCCATTGGTACTCTGGGCGTGCACACATGCACCTGGCATGTTTTCTCAAGCCAACAGGGATGGTACTTGAGCCCTCACTGACAACGTGGAATCTGGATTCCTCTGTGCAATATTTAACTGTCGCACTGTGGGGCCAGCTCTTATTTATTTATTTTCCTCCATAGGGCACGTGTGCTTGCCAGAGAGAGACAGAGAGAAAGTGAGACATCACCCCCTAAATGACAACCCATTATCCTCTTGGGATTTTGCACATGCACACCCAGTATGATTTTTTTAAGCCGTTAGATCTGGAGTTTGAACTGTGGTCAGCCATGTGGGAGTCCAGCACCTTAACACCACACCACTTGCTGATACCGATTTTTTTACTTTTTAAAAGTTTATTCATTTATTTCTTCCATGAATGAGAGAATGAGGAAGAGAGAAGCATAGGGCCAGCAGGCAGCGTGTTGGTTAAGGAGATGGACTCCCACATGACCAACTGTAGTTTGAGTCCCAGATCTGGTGGCTTGCTTTCTCACTTTCCCTCTCTCTGTTTCTCTCTGCTTGAATTAAACAATAATAATAATAACTAATAAAATTAAATGTCTTTAAAAGAGAGAGAGATGCATCACCCATAACAGGGACTGGACACTATAATCCACATATCACCTCAGCCAGCCTGGAATTATGGACAGACTTGCGCCTGGTGTACTGAAGAAGGTCTCCTGACATGAACCCATGTGGGTTTGCATGTGGGTCTGCCTCACAGAATGTTTGGCCTCCACCCATTCTTCTTTTTAAAATGAGCTTCAGGACCAGCCCATGGCCTGGTAGTTAAGGAGAATGGATCCCACATGGCTGGCTGCATGGTTCAAGTCCTGGACCCTGTGGTTTGAGAAACACACTGGGCACGCATGCATGCATGCCTAAAATCCCAAGAGGAGAATGGAGGAGAAAGGATTGCAGCACGGCCTTCCATCCTACAAGGTGTTCTCTCTCTCTGTCTCTCTGTTTCTCTGTCTCCCCCTCTCCTCTGAGTGAGCACATGTGCCGTAGGGGAAAAAAAGAATCTCTGTCTCTCTCTCTTTCTCCATCTCATGAAAGTAAAAAAGGGACTCCTCTGCCTTCAACCCACAGTCAGTACTAGTAAAACATTCATCCATGTCTCCCTCCTCTGTGCCTGAGAGGAGCCAGGTTCTGGGTGAAGGTCAGGTTGGAGGAATGAAGTTGAACTGGGGAGGGCTATGCTCAGCTCATGGTGGTGCTTGAACTGAGATACGTGGGGATGTCTCTAGAAGAGACTTCAAGGTTCATCCACTCCACAGCTTCCTCATTTTACCCATGAGTAAACCAAGAGCCCAGAGAGGGAGATGGCTCACTCTAAGGACAGGCTGGAACCCGGTCTTAACTGACTTTACTGATCCATTTGTTTTATCTGAGAATTAGAAGAGGTGAAAGTGACAGGAGAGGGAAGCCATTTCCATCTGGGCTCTGGTTCTTCACCTGTTAAATGGGAATAATTGCACTTCCTTGCCCACACACCTACTTGTTCGTGAAGCTTGAGCAAGTAGGGAGGGGAAATGACAGCCGCAGCAGAATCGTCTGCCTGGTGGCAACAGGACACCAGAGGGGAAGAGACAAGGGATCTGCAGGTGGGCCAGGACAGTTGGGCTCAGATGTGGGTTCACCTTGTCATCCTACACAGGTGGGACCCAGGCCTGGGTTGCCATGGATACCGTGTCCCTGGAGCATCAGATCCAGAGCGTGCAACGCCACATCAGCTTCCTGAAAAAGGAGCAGATGGCCCTGCTGCGAGACCTGCACCTGGAAATCCTGAGGCTGCAGAAACGCTGCTCAGGTGAGGCCAGCGGGGTTGGCTGGGGTGGGGAGAGTCACTGTCCCCATCATAATTGCTGTCTCTGATGGGCCGCCCACAGGAGCCCTGTGAGCCTCACCCCAATCCTGCCACCTCTTTTTCTGGAGAAGAAAACTGAGACCTGCGGGCTCTGGTTAGGGAGCGGGGTGAGGAGGGGAAGCCTGGGGACCAGTTCCTTTTCCAAGTCCCTGTTCACCGAGCACCTCCTAGCCCTCCAGAATCCCTCAGTTCAGGGCTAGGCTCCATGCTCAGAGGTAACGTACTGCTCACGCACTGCGGGATCTCCTGGACGACTGCGGGTTTAGTCCCCAAGTCACCCAGAGGCCTCCGCGACCTCAGCTTTAGGAGAGGCTGGGGGGAGGGCCGGGTCACACTGTGAGACCCTGTGGGTACTTGTTTCTCTCTCTCTCTCATCTCTCACAAAAGAAATTAATAAACCAGTCTAGTTGGGGGAGACATGCATGCCAACAGGTAATATTGACCTAGCTGGAAATAAAGAGAGTCAAGCAGAGGTCGTGTGCAGGATTGCACCAGGGGGAGGGCAGGCGATGGAGGGGACTAGGCATCAAAGCTCCCCAGAGGAGGGAGGGAGTACTTCAGTCCCCTGAAGGCTGAGATGCCACAGGGGAAAGGGAGTGGAGAGAGAGTAACAGGCTCCAGAGAGCTCGCCAAAGGCCAGGAGGCAGGAAATCAGGAGCTCATGAAAACTTCTATTTGACTGGATAAACTGTGCTGAAGGAGACTTGTGAGCAGCCCAGCTGGAGCCGGATTGAAGACCTTGACAAATACCAGGATAGTCAAGGAGTTTGGCTTGTCCTCTTGGGTAACAGGGAACCACTGAAGGCTTTTGAGCAGCAGAGTGCTGTTTGATCAGCATTATGAAACTCAATCTGGGGACCAGCAGTTGGCGTAATGGCTATGTCGCTCGACTCCCATACTCCCATGTAGTCGACTGCGGTTCGAGTCCCGGACCCAGCGGCTTGAAACTCCTGCTAGGCGCATGTACATGTGTGCTCAGAATCCTGGGAGGAGAATGGAGAAGGGATTGCAGTGTGGCCATCCCCCCTGAGGGGTGACTTCTCACTTTCTGTCTCTCTGTCTCTCTCTGTCTTTCTGGCAAGTGCACGCGCCCTATAGCAAAAACCTCTCCAAAAAAAAAAAAAGTTCCAAAAAGAAATAGAAACTCAATCTGGGGCCAGTAATTGGTGTAGTGGAGGTGCTGGATTCTCACATGGCCGACTGCGGTTCAAGTCCCGGACCCAGCGGCTTGAAACTCCTGCTAGGCGCATGTACATGTGTGCTCAGAATCCTGGGAGGAGAATGGAGAAGGGATTGCAGTGTGGGCATCGTCCATGGGGGGTGATTTCTCACTTTCTCTCTCTGTCTCTTTCTGTGTTTCTGATGAGCTCATGAGCTCTATAGCAAAAATTTCTCCAAAAATCCCCTCCATTTGGCAGTTGTAGGAAGGTGAATTGGGGAGAGAGGGAGGTAGGGGACCAGTGGCAGAGCTGATGAAATGGTCGGAGGAAATAAAGAGAGATGGAAAAGGGAGGACCAGTGAGAGCCAGATTGAAGGAAAGGACTTGGCAACTCGTGGAGTCATGAACAGAGCAGAGGGAAGTACCAAAGACGGAGCACACCCAGGCCTGGCCTCAGCTCTTGAACCTGGGGCCTCGGATGCCTGGGCCTCAGGGTCAGCTCTGGCCCAGGCGTTTGGTACCCAGGGTCTCCAAACGGCTGAGAGCTGGTGGCTCCTAGAATATCCTAGGTAGGCCCAGAGGGAAGGTCACGCAATATGTCAATGGAAGAGACAGGATGAGACCCCAGAGCCCCATCCCCCCAGCCGTTATGCCTCGGCAGCTTTCAGTACATTCTCTCCCCAACATGCTCAGACCTCAGCCTCCCTTCCAGCCCCTGCTCCTAGGAGGCCTCCCACTGTCTAGAGGGAAACTGGGAGGCCCAGACCCACCTGGCTTCTCACACTGCACCACGGGAAGCCAGCAGCCCTGACTTGGCCACCCCAGCCTGCTCCTGATCTAGGTGCAGCTTCTGCTGTCATAGTCCAAGGTCAGGCTCCCTGAAACCTCCCCTAAGGGCAGGGTGGCAAGCCCAGCCTCCGAGGTAGCCTGTTTTTTTAAGCCACGTGGCTGACTGCCGGGATCCCAAGTCAGCCTTAAACACACCAGGTGCGGGTTTGGGGAGGAGATCATGGTGTGTTGAGACCTCTGGAGGGCACCTGTCTCCTTCTCTCTAACTCTCTCTCTCTGTCCTGTATGTGTGCACACTCTCTCTAATGAAAGAGAGAAAATAAACATTTTCTTCTTAGTTTCCTTCTTTTTTTAAGAATTCTTTTTTATTTTTGTTTATTACTTATTTAATTTTTATTTATTCATTCATTTATTTTAATTTGACCAGAAATAGACACAGAGAGAAAGAGAGGGAAAGTGAGAAAGCAAAGCCACCAGGTCCGGACTCCAACCGTGTGGGTGTGTCCAGCACCTGAGCCATCGCACCGCCTGCTGGTCCCCAGTTTATTTATTTCTTCCATGAATGAGAGAGAGAAAGACAGCACTCCCAATTGGGTCCAGATACCACACTCCACCTCCCAGCCTCAGCCAGATCTTGGACAAGCATGTGACCAACACACTGAGGGAGGCCTCTGGGGAGTGAACTCAGGGCCTTCCTATGTGGGTTTGCCTCCCTGAGCATCACTTTCAACCACTGCCCATCAAGCCCCCTCATTAATTCATTAATTACTTAAAATAAACAAGGAGAGCAACAGAGGCCAGCCCAGGGGGCAGAGATGGCCCACACTTAACCCTCACTCCCCACCTGGGCCCATGGACTTTTTCATTATGGTAACAGTAACAGGGTATCAGGAGTCCTAACACCCACCGCAGTTTCTAGAATTTCTTTGTTTTGCCCCAATTCTCATGACCTGGATCCCTCTACTCAGGACACAGACCAGATCCCTGGAAAGTGTAACAGTCAGGAACAGGGGGTCTTTGGCCCCCACCACGCTTCTCTGACAGCTATGCGCCTGCAGGCTCTTGGTTATCGATTAAGGAGATAAAAATAACTCTGGGCTGGGCTGGAGCAGTGTCCTGGGGCTGAAATGACTAAGGCCCTCCCTTCAAGAGGGAAGTGGTGAGAAGAAGGGAGGACAAAGGAGATAAGGGAAGGAGATTAAAGAAGGACCCAAGGGCTGGGAGGCAGATGGGAGAGAACAAGGGCCTAGCTGTGTAGGAGCCAAGGGGAAAGGCTGCTTGGAGAGCTGCCTGCGAGCAGCCGGTACTTCTAGGCTGCGCAGGGCAGCTGGGGTGAGTTCAGGAATTGCTCCAGTATATTTAGCTTTAACTCAGACCTGGGACAACCCCTTGGTGTATGTTCTCTCACTTAATTCTGGCAGCTGCTCTTTATAAGGGAGGCACTATTTTGTCCCTATTTTTCCATGAGCAAGCTGAA